CCTCTTGATTTCTAAAACAGCAAATTTATAACTTGAACCTGTGCTTTTACAGTAAATATTATGTCATTTCTAGGAATAATTTTGGGAGAAGTAAAAAGGGATAATGAGCACTGGCCGGTTTGGCTTACTGGTTAAAATGTCAGCCCAAGGACCGAAGAGTCGAAGATTCAATTCCTGGTCAAGGGCACATACCTCGGTTTTGGGTTCGATCCCCGGCCCCAGTGGGGGTTGTGCGGGAGGCAGCCAATCGATGTATCTCTCTCACAATGATGTTCCACTCTCTCTCTCTGCCTCCACTCTATCTAAAAATCAATGGAAAATATCCTTGGGCGAGGATTTAAAAAAAAGGGGGGGGGGTAATGATACCTGCAGCTTTTTTTTACTAAATTAAGAATGCAGATTTTACTTATTTTGAGTGTTTTCACATTTTTTTAGTTAGGCTAATCTTTATAAAGCAGCTTCTTTATTGTTCCCTTTTAAGGAAACATAGCTAAAACCACCCATCTCCTGGCACTCAGATAACTGGCCTGTTGATCATTTTCTGGTGCATGGTCTTCCTGATTTCTCAGCCCACCCCTGGACCTCCTATGTTCTATTTGTAACGTGCTTTATGATACATTGTGCTACATTTCCTAGTTCTCCATTTTAAACTTATTTGTAAGTAACTATTAGCGTCCTGCTGCCGCTGCTCTAACATAACATTTTCACAGGTTCAGTGGCAAGTGATAGGATGGGGGCATTATTTGCCTGCTATGGTAACATTTTTAAAGTTGAAGAAAATGGTACTCACAGCATTATGAATTTATTAGAGTAGCCAGGCATGCTGTTAATGACTAATCAAAGGAATTCTTCGTCAGCCATTTAAATAGAAGGAAACAAGTTCCCACACGAGATTGAGAATAAAAGTCCATCTACTTCTCCTGCAGGTGTGTTGGCTGTCGAAGCAGTGGTGAGATGCTCTGAAATCGCTGGGACAACACAGGCTGATTCTCAGAAGTCGTTATTTCGATTAAAATGTATTTAACTTATATTTAATTTTAATATAATTATACTTATTTTTAATATATAATAAAGTAATATATTAATATATATTTATTTTTAATTATTAAACTTATTATTATTATTTATTTATTTTTTATCCTCACCTGAGGACATTTTTCCACTTTTTGTTCAGATAGAGTGGGAGGGAGAAAGAGGAAGAGAGAGAGAGAGAAACATCGACGTGAAAGGTACACATCGAGTGGCTGCCACCCGCACAACCAACCAGGGTCAGGGACAAACTGCAACCGAGGTACGTGCTCTTAGCGGGAACCGAACCCTGGTCTCTCTGGACCACAGGTTGACACTCTAACCACTGAGCCAAACAGGCCAGGGCTAAACTTATTATATTTATTTAAACTTAATCCCAAACTGGGCTTGAGATGTAGTCTTCAGAAAGTGTAGGAAATTAGTGCACTCTTGCAAAATGTTGGATTTTTGCTTACTTTGGATTCCATAGGCTTCTCTTAGTGTGTTGTAGTTTTTGTGAAATTTTCAGCCAGTGTAGTATTATACCTAATTGAGAAATTCTTTTAAGGTTTACTGTACTAAAAATCAGTTTAAATGGCAGTTGATCTTCAGCAGACATATCTGAGCACCTGTCCAAGCTGAAGGCATCTTTTAGATTGTAAGTCTGGAACCCACTCGTTGTAGGTCTCTAACTAGTTGATGACCCCAGGCAAGTAACTTGGAGGTCTCAGGCGAGTACTTACATATTTGGGATTTGTATCTCTGATACAAGTTACCCACCTCCCCCAATCCAGACAGAAGCCACTTGAGGCTGGAAATGCCCAGGCCTACAGTTGCAGGGTGGGGACTGGGTTTGACTCCAAGTGCAGATGACTCGAGAACACAGCTGCTTCCCTCTCCTGGCTCACTTGTTGAGAAGCTTGTCCACGGACTCATGATTTGCAGACAGTGCCGCAAGGCTCTGCACAGGGCCTCTGGAAGTTTGGGGGAATGCAGTTTTCTTTTCGCTTGAGGAATCAGTCACCCCCTGACTTGTTCTATACATTAGGGTTCTGCCTCGATCCTGTTTGGAAAGAGTTTCTATGCCTAAAACGTTGGAAGTCTCCTGTACTAGAGATCTGAGACCTACCTATCTGGAATAAATATGTATTGGAAAAGAAAATGTAGGTAATAATAATTTGTCAACAATGTATTTTCAGCTATATTCTACTCCTAGTTATGTTTTGCGCAGCTTAATAGTCAAATAAGGTTGAGGTGATTGAACACACCATCCGTAGGGGGGAAGTGAGTGGAGTTGAGGTTTATGCTGAAAGTGGGCAGTGTACAATCTTCTCCCGGTGCGCTCTGCTCCGGCTCCTGCGGGTTTCAAGGCTGCCCTCAGCGCCTAATGACAGGTTACCCTGGGAATGCGCCGCTGACGCAATGGGGCCGAGCCCAGGGCTCGACTGGGGCAAGGGTGATGCTTCAGAACAAAACAAGCTCCTGTGTTTAATGAGGCCAGTAAGACGGCTTTCCCACAGTGGGAAGAGAGTCTGGCTCCGTGCGGAGGTTGCAGTGGGAGTTAATACGGTTACGGGTGTTGTGCTCGCACTGCAGTGTGTGAAGCGAGAGCGGGTTTGAGGTGTGGCGCTGACGGGTGGGAATGGGGAAGTGAGTTGGGACGGAGGACGCGGAGTTGCCGGGTCGGCAGTAACTGAATGCAGGGGGTGGGGGGGAGCGCAGGGGTGCAGAGGGTGTTTGTCTGCCACACGTTTCCCACGCAGTCTGTGCAGCTTAGGCTGAAGCCACATGAGGTGCCGGTACCGAGTGTTTGGCCTACAAAACAGCACGTTTCGACCTAAATACAAGCTGGTGGAGACGCTGGGTTTGGCCCCACTGGGTCGGAGTTGCGTGGTGCAGTGTTGGAGCCGCCCTCTGCCCGGTGGGCGGGGCTTGGGCGGGGCTGAGCCTGTGGGCCCTCCCCCGACCGCGCCCCACCCTCTCCCCCACGAGCCCCGCCCTGCAGAGCCTCTGGGGCCGGGAGGAGTCTGCTGGCTCTCCGGGTGGAGCAGGCTTCTCCAGCCGCGCGCCCGGCCTCGGGCTCCTAAGGGCTCACCGGGCGGCCGGAGCCGGCAGTAAGTCCTGAGCCCGTCCCGAGCGCGTCACCTTGTCAGGGTGCCTCCGCTGCGCACCTCAAGTCCGCCTTCCCCGGGAGCTGGTCGGAGCCAGGCTCATGGATCTGGGAGGACACCCTGCTGGGCAGCTCAGCGATGGCGCCCGTGTTTTCGGAGACGCAGTCGAATTTGAGCTCGAGGAGGTGTGGTCCACTCCTTTTGGGACAGAAGAAGCTTTCTTTCCCTGCCTCCGGAGCTGGTGCTTCTGAGGAGAGAATGGAGTAGATGGAGCAGGGCAGTCCGCTTCGCTTCTGGACAGTCTGACCCCGACATGCTCAGGAACAGAAGCTGTTCCGGAGGGGCCTCTGCTCCAGTGTTTCTGCGTCGGGGGAAGGGCTGTGCGCTGCCTGGCTGCTCATGACCGGGAAGTCGGCCTCCCCTTTTCTGTACTCCTGGAGGGGCGTCTTGCTCACGTGTTTACCAGCCGCTGGGACTAGGAAGAGAAAAGGTATTGGCATTTAAGAGACTGGGTTGCTTAAACTGTGAACCCAGGAAGCTGTGAGCCGGTGGGATCCGCCTGGATCGGGACGGGCTGCAGCATAATGGAGCTCGCAGTGGCATTTCTTTTGATTTGCACTTAAACTTCAGGTTGCACCATGGCTTCTGCAGAGCTGTCCGTGGACTGCGGGCTGCAGGGTTGGGATGCTTTTCTGTTTGAAGATGCAGCTGGGTTCCACCTTGGAGCTTTGGGAGGTTCCAGCAGCTGCTATCTTGTGATGTAATACCTTCATTCACAGGAAATACCAGCGGCACTTCACCTGTTTTTACACTTTGAATAGGAATTTAACTTGTGCTTACCAGTATTTGGAAAAATAGTAAAGTATATTGTGACACGAACTTGAACTATTGTTAAATGTATAACTATTTTGCTAGACCAAGAAATTAAACTGGTGTTTTTCTTGCTTAGTAGTTATATTATGTGAATACAAACTGAGTTTACTGATCCTCAATGTGATTAGCTGTTTCTATTTAGTGATTTGAAAGGCATTGACTTTTTTGCCCGAGGAACCACTTTCCAATTATTTTGTTACTCACTTAAGTGAGCAGTACAAAATAGAACATGAAGCAGGCATACAGCACACACAGGGCATTTTGGCAGTGCTAACCCCATTGTTTGAAGTGACCTAAAATGCTGGGTCATCATGTGCACGGAGAACCTCCTGGGGAACCTGGATTACAGGAGAGCTCCTTTGTGGTTTCTTTGCTGGGGTAGAGCCCTGGCTGTACTGGCTGAGCAGTGATTTTTGTCATCCTGCATCCGTGTGATGAGCCACATTGTGATGGAATTCTGTTGTCCTTTTGTTTCCCCTTGAAATTGAGAATATTTTGGTGAACGTGGAATTTGTTTTGCACCTTCAGCCCCCACGTCAAGGGCTTTATTCTTGAGTAATGTAGAACCAAAATTGCATTTACATGGTCACATTGGTAGCCAGCATTGTGTTTTCAAAGTTAAATTCTTTGCAACAGAATAACGATTATAATGGAGAAAACTTTAAATTTGAGGCATTAAATTTTTGTCGTTGTTAATCCTCACCCAAGGATATTTTTCCATTGATTTTTAGATAGCGTGGAAAGGAAGGAGAGAGAGAAACATCAATGTGAGAGACACATCGATTGGTTGCATCCCACATGACCCCAACAACCAAGGCCAGAGATTGAACCTGCAACCAGGTGGGAATCGAACTGGGAATCGAACCCAAGACCCTTCAGTCCTCTGGCCAGGGCAAGGCATTAACTTTTAGTTTTGTAGAAATATGACTTATATAGTTATTGTGACTACACTCTTAGGCCAGGAGGCTGGTCTTTTGTCACTGAACTCAAGACATAGATTCCTGGGGAAAGGTGCTGTTTTATCTTCCACTCAGCCTGAAAGTTACATTGTTGATCATTTCTTCCAGATGATACTTCTGTCTTAAATGTTTTTTTAACTGTGCTGATGAGTATGTCAGCAGCAGTGATGAGCCCCTAGGGTACAAGGAATTCTGTAACTGTGGACGCGACCCCCCATCCCCAGTGTTGTGTGAGTCTCTCTGGTGCTTTTATCTTTATTATTTATTACCTTTTTCTGATCCTATTTCTCCTTTGCAAATTATATCTTATTTATATTCTAGAATGGAAGTAGAATAGAACTATTTTCTCTAAATAATCAACCTAAAATTTTTCAGGGTAGCCTTGCATTTGTCCTCTGTCCCCTCTCACTTTTTAGGGGGGCACCTCTTGGTAGGAAACCAAATTAATATCCAGCTGATGTTAACTTTCTGAGGGAAGACATAATAGATGGAGATGGGTGATGGGATGGCAGATGGCCTCGCGACCCCTCCATTCTCCAAGTATACCTCCAGAACAGATAACCGGTCATCACTAGGAGATAATCAGAGTTAGTATCTTGGTGACTCTTTGGGTGACTTATAACTAACTCCCTGTACCTATCAACAGCTGTGACTCTGAATGGGAAAAAATACTCAGTGGGGGAATTGAACATAGAGGGAGGAGAAAGTCCACTCAGAACTGATTTGATTCAACTTTTCTTGGTGGCTTATGGTCCAGGTTGTAGTTCAGCATTTATTCCACCAGTTTATCCAAGGATGGTTTTCACTTCATTTTTTAAGAAAGGGAGTTCTAATGTGTTCTGGAACATTTTGAAGAGAGATTTTATTTAGCTTAAAACTCCTAATAATCAAAATGCGTATTTTATGTAATTATGTTTTTTTAACCCTGTTTTCCTTTATTGTTTTACTCAGTAAATTTTGCATGAAACACATATAACTTTGTAAAACAAGTTACAACTATAATTACTTTTTTCTTTCCTCCTTTTATTTTTATTTATATTTTCTCTGCAGAAATGAGCCGCCAGACTGCAACGGCATTACCTACGGGGACCTCCAAGTGCACACCATCCCAGAGGGTGCCCGCCCTGACGGGCACCACTGCGTCCAACAATGACTTGGCTAGTCTCTTTGAGTGCCCCGTCTGCTTTGACTATGTGCTACCACCCATTCTTCAGTGTCAGAGTGGCCATCTCGTCTGTAGCAACTGTCGCCCGAAGCTCACATGCTGTCCAACCTGCCGTGGCCCCTTGGGGTCCATCCGCAACTTGGCTATGGAGAAAGTGGCCAATTCAGTACTTTTCCCATGTAAATATGCCTCTTCCGGGTGTGAAATAACTCTGCCACACACGGAAAAAGCAGACCACGAAGAGCTCTGTGAGTTTCGGCCTTACTCCTGCCCGTGCCCCGGTGCTTCCTGCAAGTGGCAGGGCTCTCTGGACGCCGTCATGCCTCACCTGATGCATCAGCACAAGTCCATCACCACCCTGCAGGGAGAGGACATCGTCTTCCTCGCCACAGACATCAACCTCCCCGGGGCTGTGGACTGGGTGATGATGCAGTCCTGCTTCGGCTTCCACTTCATGCTGGTGCTGGAGAAGCAGGAGAAGTACGACGGGCACCAGCAGTTCTTCGCCATCGTGCAGCTGATAGGAACACGCAAGCAGGCCGAGAACTTTGCTTATCGACTTGAGCTGAACGGGCACAGGCGGCGATTGACTTGGGAAGCCACGCCTCGGTCCATTCACGAGGGGATTGCAACAGCCATTATGAATAGCGACTGTCTAGTCTTCGACACCAGCATTGCACAGCTTTTTGCAGAAAATGGCAATTTAGGCATCAATGTGACTATTTCCATGTGTTGAAACGGCAATCAAACCTTTTCTGGCCAGTGTTTGAAACCATTGCGTTCGATTTCAGAGAATAGGCACCCTTTTGCCTGCCAACCTGAAACTTTTGGTAGGCGGAGCCAATCACATGAAGGTAGATACAAGGAAAGGCTGTTAAATACAGGAAACAGTTGCATGTAGTAACACTAATATATTTAAAATAAGTCAACAGTAAACCACTGAAAAAATATATATATATACACCCAAGATGGGCATCTTTTGTATTAAGGAAGCATTGTAAAATAATTCTGGATTTGTGTTTGTTGTAGATTGAGTGTACTGTTGAAAAATACTGGGTTGTTTTTGCGTGTGTGTGTGTGTGTGTGTGCGCGTGCGTGCGTGCGTGTTTGGGTTTTTTTCCTTTAACTGACAAGCCATGTTGAGTGGTCTTGGGCCACAGCTTTTCCCTTTGAGTCAATACATAGTGCTGCTGTGTGTGTACATTGTCGTGTGTGTATTTGCTAATTTTTATTAATTCTAGATTTTCATTAAATAAATTTGACTTTCTTTTCTGTAATTCAGGCTTTTCCCATCTTTTTTTGTACCTTTTTAAAGTTAGTGTTTTTTTTTTTTTGATATGCTTAATTGTTTTATGGTAAAGTTTATACATGTGTGTTCCATACATATTTTTCCTCCCCATTAATCAGTTCATTAGAAATACTTTAAATTCAGCTATTTTGTGAAGATAAGAATTCCAGAAAGGAAAGGTAACATCAGAAAAATTATCGGAAGCTATAAGGTGGTCGGTCGGTTGGTCGGTCGGTCTGTCTCTCTGTCTCTGTCTCTCTTTTTTTTTGTGCAGCTGTGTCATACCTTCAGACTTTTCTTTGAAAGGTTAGGATATACTGATTTTTCAAAATACCTAAAAAAAGAAAGATCAGGCTCTTTTCCCCCCACAGATATCTTTGGACAAATCACATGTTTAAAATTTGTTCTCGTATTTATTGTTTTTGCAAAAGAAGGCATCGTCTTACACAGTATTTGTAATTGAAAGCAAATTATTTGTTTTAAAAAAAGGCAGTTTGCAAAAAAAATGTTTTTGGTCTTTTATAATTCTCATTAAAAGGATATCTGGCAAATTAAAAACTCTTTTGTGTTTGCTTTAGCTGTAAGTTTGATTGCAACCCAAGGTGTTTTCCTGTTCAGGTCTGTACTTGACATCAGAAAGCAGTGCTCTGTTTGAAGTGCAGTGGGTTTCACGCTAAAGCACAGCCCAGAACAGGTCCGGTCCTCTGTCTGGACTGCAGCCCTCTCCCTCTTGCCCAATTGTGATTCTCACAGCTCCTAGAAGACCGATCAGTTAAAATGCCAATCACCTTTTTCCTCCTTAAAAAAACAAAACAAAACTGAGTTACTATTTCACAGCCTAGTGACTGAGCCTGGGCTCAGCAGCCAGACTTGCAAGGACCTACAGGCCAGTCCCAGCTCTAACCCACTCAGCAGCTGCCTCGAGGAGATAAGAAGATAAGAATTGAGGACTGAATCAGTACAGGTAAGTTATCTGCGTGTAATGAGCACCCAACAAATGGTGGCTGCTGGTATGGTCCTTCCAGCTAGCACCAGACAGCTCACTGTCGCACTGTCTCGCTACCGACGAGATGCCGAAACTGCCCCCGAATGACTGGAGGCCGTTTTCTGCGGTGTGGCTTTCGTGGGTCCCTGACTGGGGAAGTCGGGGTGACGGCGAGCTCACTTCTGCCTGTTTCCAGCTCCACCTGAGCACCGCTTTGTCAGCTGGGGCTGTGACGTGCGTGTCCGAGGCTGGCCGGCCCCGCCAGCACGCGTGTTTAGGAAAGCAGGGCCCCTCACAGCCTGCCACTGACCCCGGGCACGGGGCTGAACCGCGGTCTGCTTCCGGCGGAGCCCTTCCGTCCGCGGGCCGGTGAGGGTCTTCTCGTGGCGACACTTCCTTGTCTCTAGCTTTCTCGTCACTGTACGCTGCACAGAGCGGCGGAAGTGCCAGTGTCCTGGCGTCTGTTAGTCGTTATTCTGGGGGGTCAGCACCCCACCCCTGCGTTGTTCAAGGGTCACCTGTGGCGAATTGATTTGCAGAGTGATATCACCTTGTTTTTAAAATACTAAAAGACTTCGGAAATTAGAAAATGGCTCACACAGTGGAGATCTGTAACTTAACCTACCCAGAGATGACGAAATACTTGTATTTTTCTAGTCCTTTATGTGTATTTACATGTGCTGACACATTTAGTTTGAAATCATGTGATTTTAGGTAATGCCATTATGTAACCCCCTCACCTCCTAAACATTTCATCGCTTTAACAATCTTGGAAAAACTCCATTCTGGGTACATTCTGTGAGGATTGACTAATTTTAGCCAGTTTCCTGATGTTGGGTACTTAGTTGCTTTGTCCAGGAAAATTTTTTTAGCTATTTATAAATAACCTGTGACCATTCTATGTTTTCTGATATTCTTGGGGTCTTTTTTTTTTTAAGGTCTTAATACTTTTATCATTGTTTCCCGGAGGTTTCAAAGGACAGTGTTTCAAGTAACCATGTGAATGATTTTCCATTTGATTGTTACCTCATAGTTTGCTGATTTATGCAAATTGAGAGAGTAAAGTTTGTGTTCGACAGCTAGAGGCTGCCCGTTTAATGGATGTTTTCTGCGCTTCCTTCACAGGCGTGGCCTGCAGGGGTGATGCTGTGGAGCCAGAGCCTGTCCACTTGACTTTGATCTAGGTGTCGCTCTGAAACCTTTGTAGACTCAGCGTTCCGCTTTCTCCATTGATGCTCCTGCCCTTTTTCTGGTGTCTGGGTGTTTCTTCCAGGGATTGTAGCGGGGAAGGGAGGTGACACTCTGACTCGGTCCTCTTGCCCTAACGCTCTCAAATTTGTCATTGAATGTGTCCATGTGTCAGTGGCTGTCGGGGACACATTCTTCTGCTCTCAGTGATTGTAGTTATGACATGTCTGACTTCCAGTCCTAGTCCCGCCCCCCCCTCCTCAGGAGCTCAGCTCTGCAGACCAGGGACATCTGCAGTGATTCTCCGAATGGAACTTTATGCCATTCAGTGTCTGGAGCGGGAGAAGGACCCAGATGAACAACCAACCAACCCCTGGATCAAACCGGACACCTGGGGCCAGTCGGCCTGCGTGTTGGAGTTAGAGTGAGGTCAGCAGAGGCTGAGCTCAGGGTATGTAGTCGTGTGAGTTACGGGGACCCGTGGGCGGTGTCACGGAGACAACTCTGCGTGCGCTGCCAGTCTGACACCTGCATTGCCACCAGTGCGCATGCTCGACCGTGACGCGCAGTGATGGTCGGGGGTGCAGGGAACTCACTGCCCATTGGTATCGGGTGACAAAGCGCAGTGACGGTCGGGGTACAGGGGACTCACTGCCCATTGGTATCAGGTGACAAAGCGCAGTGACGGTCGGGGTACAGGGGACTCACTGCCCATTGGTATCGGGTGACAAAGCGCAGTGACAGTCGGGGGTGCAGGGGACTCACTGCCCATTGGTATCAGGTGACAAAGCGCAGAGACAGTCGGGGGTACAGGGGACTCACTGCCCATTGGTATCGGGTGACAAAGCGCAGTGACGGTCGGGGTACAGGGGACTCACTGCCCATTGGTATCAGGTGACAAAGCGCAGTGACGGTCGGGGGTACAGGGGACTCACTGCCCATTGGTATTGGGTGACAACGTGCAGTGACGGTCGGGGTGAAGGGGACTCACTGCCCATTGGTATCGGGTGACAACGTGCAGTGACGGTCGGGGGTGCAGGGGACTCACTGCCCATTGGTATCGGGTGACAACGTGCAGTGACGGTCGGGGGTGAAAGGGACTCACTGCCCATTGGTATCGGGTGACAAAGCGCAGTGACGGTCGGGGTGAAGGGGACTCACTGCCCATTGGTATCAGGTGACAAAGCGCAGTGACGGTCGGGGGTGAAGGGGACTCACTGCCCATTGGTATCGGGTGACAACGTGCAGTGACGGTCGGGGTGAAGGGGACTCACTGCCCATTGGTATCAGGTGACAAAGCGCAGTGACGGTCGGGGGTGAAGGGGACTCACTGCCCATTGGTATCGGGTGACAACACGCAGTGTGACGGTCGGGGTGCAGGGGACTCACTGCCCATTGGTATCGGGTGACAACGCGCAGTGTGACGGTCGGGGTGCAGGGGACTCACTGCCCATTGGTATCGGGTGACAATGCGCAGTGTGACGGTCAGGGTGCAGGGGACTCACTGCCCATTGGTATCAGGTGACAACGTGCAGTGACGGTCGGGGTGCAGGGGACTCACTGCCCATTGGTATCACGTGAAAATGGTGAACGGTTTGGATACAGATAGTGGTGATGGCTGCACAATATTGAGAATGTAGTTTCTGTCCCTGATTATAACTGTAACATGGTTAAAATGGTAAATTGTGTTGTTTTGCTGCAATAAAAGAGAGTAAGTGAACAAAAAAGCTAAATTAGAAGCAGTGCTGGAGAAACGGGTCAGACAGTTGGTGTCATGTGCAGCCCGTCTTCCCTGAACTCAAGTGCAGGCTGCGGGCACTGGGAGAGCCGTCCCGCGCCGGGTGTGGGGGACGCTGGTGGGTGGGAACCGCGCCCCGGGCGGCTGGACAAGCAGGCCGTCTCCCCTCCCCGAGGCAGTCGGGTCCCCTGGTGCCTCCCACCGGCCACAGCGGGCTCTGGACTGGGACTTGTCCTCCCAGAACCTCAGACCTTCCTAGCGGGTCTGAGCGCAGCCTCTGGTAACTCGCAGACCCCTCCCCCGAGGAATCCCCAGTGTCCTAGAGCTGGTCTCACAGCTTGAAACGAGTCCTGAAGCCCATCACTAGACACTGTCCGAAGCTGTTTAGCTCTGCAGGCTGGCCATCTTCATGAGCACATGACTGGACCGCAGCCTGCGTTTACCGGTACGGACAGCTAGGACCCAGGACGTCGCCCAGCCTGACCCCTGGTGCCCACTCCCTGGTGAGCTATGGGAGGAGAGGACCAAAGGGAGATGGCAGGGGTCAGGACAGCGAGCCCTCCTCCGGGGACCGGGCCTTCTGGGGTGACGGACGTCCAGGGCCAGCGTGTTCGCGGGCTGGGTGCGAACATGCTGCTCTGCCTGCCCCGTCGCGACGCTGCTTCCCTCCGCCGGAGGGGCCCGTGCTGGCTGTGGAGGCCGCACAGCTCACTCGCCTGGCCACGGCGTGTGCGGGGCCCACAGCCACGGGGCCGCGGTGTGACTCCCCAGGGCGCGGTGGCCGGGGGACCGACCTTCCTCACGGGTCCCGGGGCACCGGCAGGCTGCCGCCAGCGCTCTGCGTTTCGGGGGCAGTGACGATGCCATGAAAACGAAAGAATTTAATCGTTACACTTTATTAAATTAACGTTTCTATAATAAACATGAGCCACCGTTTGGGTGAGTTTCGTGACTGCTGCGATTATGTTCACGAGCGAAGGGATGTTTTGCTAACTCGACTGTTGTGAAAGGTCCACCCTGCAGTACCTGGGGCACTGCAGAGCTCAGGGTCCTGAGACGCTGAGCCGAGCCTACAGCTTGCTGTTTAAGAGACCAGGTCTGGCCTTGACGGCGAAGCCGCCGTCGAAAGCGGCGTTAAGGACCTCGTCCAGGCAGCTGGCGGTGATGAAGCTGAGATCCTGCCGCACGTGGCCCGGGATTTCTTCAAGGTCTTTCTCGTTCCTCTGAGGAATGATGATCCGCTTCAGCCCTGCTCTGTGTGCGGCCAGCACTTTGTCCTTGATCCCGCCCACCTGGGAGGAAGGACGAGTTACTGGGGCTGTGGAAGAAAGCCCGCCCCCCCTTGAACACAGCGCATCATCTTCCGTTCTGCGCACCATGAGCTAGGAAAGCTACTAAAAAGGTTAGCAAATCGTGAGTTGTTTTCATTGCAGTTGGTGTTACATTAGATCTTTCCGCGGGGGGAGTTTAGTCTGCTGCCGGGCGGCACCTCTCCTGAACACGGTTCCTGTCTGTGCTGCGAAGGTCTGCACCCCCAGCCTGCGCTGCAGCCACAGCTCGTCCTGGGCGGACTCGGGAAGCTGTGCTGTCTGACCAGACTCCGTCCCTACAGAGCTCAGCTGGGTGCCGGGGCCGCCGTGCCACCAGTGAAGACAGGTCCCCGCCACCTCGGCTCTGTGCTTTGACAGATGTCCACAAAACTAAAAGACACAGACACGGAGGCTAAACAACATGGTACTAAATAATGAATGGTTAATGAATTCAAGGAGGAACTCAAAAGACACCTTGAAACAAATGAAAATGAGAACACAATCCAAAATCTACAGGACACGACAAAAGCAATCCTAAGAGGGAAATTCATAGCATTACAGGCCTACCTCAAGTAAGACAAACCTCAATCTAACTTTACACCTAAAGGAACTCGAAAAAGAACAACAAAGTCCAAAGTGAATGGAAGAAAGAAAAAGATCAGAGCAGAAATAAATGGAAAATAAAAAAATTAAAGTACAAAACATCAATGAAACCAAGAATGGTTCTCTGAAAAGATAAACAAGACTGATACACCTTTAACCAAACTCTTCAAGAAAAAAAGAGTGAGGACCCAAAGAAAATCAGAAACGAAAGAGAAGTACCAACTGACACCATAGAAATACAAGGATTATAAGAAAATATCATGTATGCCAATAAATTGGACAGTCTGGACCAAATGGATAAATTCCTAAAAACATACAATCTTCCAAAACGGAATCAGAGGATCTGAATAGACAATTACAACTAGTGAAATTGAAGCAGTAATAAAAAAAACTCCCAACAAACACAAGTCCTGGACTGGATGGCTTTACAGGTGAATTTTGCCACATATTCAAAAAGAACTGACACCTGTCCTTCTCAAACTGTTCCAAAATGCTCAAGAGGAGGGAAGACCCTGAAGCACATTTTACGGGGCAGCATCATCCTAATTCCAAAACCAGGTAAAGACACTACAAAGAAAGAAAATTACAGACCAGTACTGATGAACACAGATGCTAAAACATCCTCCACAAAATATTAGCAAACCAGATCCAGCAATATATTTAAAAGTCTACACACCATGACCAAATGGGATTTATTCTGGGGATGCGAAGTCGATACAATATCCACAAATCAGTAAATGTGATATACCACATAAAGGATTTACAATGGAATGTCCATACTACCTAAAGCAATCTACAGATTCAATGCAATCAAGATAGTTCTGGCAGATTTCACAGAACTAGAACTAATATTCCAAAAATGTATACGGAACCACAAAAGACCCCGAAGAGCCAGCGTTCACTGAGAACGAAGAACCAAGTTGGAGGAGTCGTGTGACCCGGTAGGAAAGTCTTCACAAGCCACGGGAACCAAAGCAGCGGCAGCGGCTGGTCTGCTCACCGCACCCACTGCTGTCCTCTTCCAGGGCTCCCCAGGCCCTGCAGAGAGCAGGTGGATGGAGCCCCCGCGTGCACGGCGGACAGGGCGGTGCGGCACGGAGCTGGATGGGCTTCCCCTGCACGCCTGGGTCACTGGCGAGACGGGGGAGGGCTCTCTCCTCGGGGGTCCACAAGTCACTAGGATGGAACCGTTCTCCTGCCCGGGAAGGCCCTTCGAGCTGAAGACAGCCGGAGGGAGGTCCCAGTGCTCGCTGGACGATCTGTCCTCGTCCAGTGTCTGTCACTAGACCCCTGTGAGTCAGATGCTGGATCTGCCAGACTGAATTTTTTTTAATAACTTGGCCTCTGCTCGGAGCCGGACGGGTGGGCGGCCGCTGGGCCGAAGACGCCCGCGATGCCCTGGCTTTTCTCCCGCCTCCTTCCTGCTCCTGGGCTAAGCTCCTTCCAGGTTCCAGCTGGGAAGGCTGCCTCCCTCCAGCCCTGTGACCAGGACACTTCTAGCTCCCAGAAGCTGGCTGAACTGCCAACATCGACTCCCCCCTTTTTGCGGGTCAGAATGTTTCCCCTTTGTTCCTCCATCAGTCCGCCCACTCCTTGACCTGGGAAAGCAGGCCAGGTCGGGAAGCCCGAGCTCGTCTGCTCTAGGGCACAGCTGGCATTGCTGCCGCCCCTCCCTCCCTCCCTCCCTCCCAGGCGCCAGGCGAGGGAAGGAGGCCGCTGCCAGAGCAGACCCGGCGTGTTGTGGCGGACGGGCCTAGACCCTGACCTGCTTGTGCCGAGCACGGGTCTTCATCGGTGCGTCCGTGGCCTGACGACCTGCCTACTATCACTCGTCAAGTGGAGAGACTCCCAGAGCACAGGACACTCCGCCCCTCATCTGCTATGACCCGCCGCAGCGCTGTGCACGGGACACTCCGTCCCCTCATCTGCTATGACCCGCCGCAGCGCTGTGCACGGGCGCAGGCGACCGTGGCTTCACGCCTACCCTCCCGGGCCATGTCTCTGTCAGTGTTGCTATGAGCTAAGATATGGGCCCAGGTGTGCAGCTTTTTTTCAAAAGTTAGCAACTGCACATGGTGAGTCTTGACCGCCGTTGCTATTTTACAGTGCTCTCTTTTTTCTGATCCTCACCCGAGGATATTTTTCCATTTATCTTCAGATAGAGTGCAGGGAGAGAGAGAGAAACATCGATGTGAGAGAGACACATCAACTGGCTGCCTCCTGCATGACCCCGACCAGGGCTGGGGACCAACCGCAACCGAGGCACGTGCCCTTGACGGGAATCGAACCTGCGACTCACTGGTCCCCAGGCCGACGCTCTAACCACTGAGCAACCGGCCAGGGCTGCAGTGCTCATTTTCCTGCAGATCTACCAGCTCGAGCAATCTCATTACCTGTAGGGCAGGTGGCCTCCCAGGAGGGCCCGGCGGTAAGAGCTGCGCTTACAGTTTCCCAGTAGCTCCTCCCCTATTTAATTGTTGTTGCTCCTCACCTGAGAATATTTTCCCATTGATTTTTAGATAGAGCGGAAGAGAGGGACGGAGGGAGGGAGAGTGAGAGAGAGAGACACACACATCGATTGGGTGCTTCCCACATGACCCCAACCAGGGCTGGGGATCCAACCTGTGACCCTTTGGGCCTCAGGCTGACACTAACCACGGAGCAACACTAGCCAGGACAACTCCTATATTATTTTTTCTGTTGATTTTTTTTAGAGTGAGGAAGGGAGAAAGATTGAAACGTGGATGTGAAACAGAAACATTGATCTGCTGCCTCCTGCACGCCCCCTACTGGGGATCGAGCCCAAACCCGGGCCGGTGCTCACAGTCCCTGGGAGGACGCTCAGTCCACTGAGCCACACCGGCGCTCTCTGGTCCTGTTTTATGCCTGTGCTGTGTAGTTAACACTGTGCTAACTGGAGCAGACCTTCACCTAAGTAGCTGATACTACTGACGACAAGACTGATTCGTTTCCCTTAGCAAGTCCTCGTTCTTAGTAGAAGAAACATAGGAAGAACTGTTTTGTTTTTGAATTTGATCAAAACTTAAAAATATGAATTATAGCTATTTTAAAACTAAGATATTCATAGGAAGAAAGCAAACCACTATTTTAAATTTAAATACAACTATTAAAAACTCCACAGTAACAGGCAAGGCATCTGCACAGCAGCTCGCACTCACGGGCAGAACCAGGCCGCGCAGCGTGATCTCCCCGGTCATGGCCACGTCCGAGCGCACCAGCTGCCCGCTGAACAGGGAAGCGAGGCAGGTCACGATGGTGACCCCCGCGGACGGCCCGTCTTTTGTGACGGCTCCAGCTGGGAAGTGCAGGTGGATGTCTGTGTTGTCGAGAAGATCGAAACTTCCAGAAGCTTTACAAGGGAAAAATAGGATTTCAGTGTAGAAAAATTAAACCTGTTTTCTTTTTCTCTTAAAAGAGAAAATCAAAGCAATGAAAAAACAGAATGTTTTGGGTGAAGGACTCTTTCAGAACATTACTAGACAGCGCGGCCCGAGTGGGGTCTGGAAGAGCCGCGCCTTCTGTTCCGAGTGGGAGTAAAACAAAACAGACGGCCCTGAGGTGGGAGCTGGTGTCTCCAGGGCTCCAGGACCAGAGTCCGCCAGCTGACCCACAGCGCGTCCAGTCCCAGCCGTGGCCCGAGAGGCTGTGCGCTGCAGGCCCCGGGTCCCGGCCGTGGTCCGAGAGGCTGTGGGCTGCAGGCCCCGGGTCCCGGCCGTGGCCCGAGAGGCTGTGGGCTGCAGGCCTCGGCCCCGCGTGCCCCCCGCTGGCGCCTGCGCGCTCACCGGTAGTCAGGTGGAACCTCTTGGCGTTGCTGCGGAGCCAGCTGATGGCGAGGTGGGCGGACTCCTTCATGACGTCCCCCAGCTGGCCGGTCAGCGTCAGCTGGCCCTCGCCCTCCATTCGGCTCGCCTCCACGAACATGATCTCCCCGCCTAAGGGCGTCCACGCCAGCCCTATGGCCACTCCCGGCTGACTCAGGCGCTCAGACACCTGCAGAGTGGAGGAGGGTAGGCAGCGAAGAGCTCAGGCTGGCCGGGCTGACGGACCCGCCCCAGGACCCCTGCTCTGCACAGACTGGGGGTCACACTTAACGACTGGCTGGCGTTCTGCCTGGAGAAAGCGGAGCTTCCTCTGTGCATTTATCAGAAGTCGTTCTGCCCTAGGAGAACTGAGCTGGGCTCCCTAGGGCACATCGTACACATCCCCTCATCTTCGGGGCACACCCACTGTCACCACCAGGCTGCGCTATCTGTAGAGACTCCAGACCCCGACTTCCTGTGCTCCCGTGCCTGTCTCAGAACGCAGAGCCCTCGTAACCCGCATTCAGGAAGTGTGCGCTCCGGGGCGCGGACGGTGCACGTCGGACCCCTCAGGTTCCCTTCTCTGCTCCTCTGCTGTTACTGCGACAGACACGAAGCCCACTTCCTGGGGCCCACGCCCTCCCCGGGCGCTCACTGCCGTGGCAGACGGCGTCACTCCCGGGGTCGGGCCTCGCTGAGGAGCCAAACCGGTGAACAGAGCAAGTCATGAAACAGCAACAGTGGAAAGCAGTCCTAAGGACTGTCCCTCTGGGCCGCCACACCTGTGCCGCAGACGCTGCCGGGTCAGGGCGCTGAGCCGTCCCCCAGCCATCCTGAAGCCAGACCGCCGCGGGCCCCGCGCGGAGCAGCCGGCTGGCACTGAGCTGCTAGGCACGGGGCTCAGCTGCTGGCGCCCACTCCTTTCCCGAGGGGAGCAGGTGGGGGAAATTCTGATCTCCATGATTTCTCCAAAGTGCCGGGTGGCAGCATGGAAGCTTCTAGGCTGCAGGACACGGGAGAGCAGCTCCGGGCCCTGTCTGGGGCTGGGACAGGGGTGAGGAGGGGCCGGCAGGTGCCTGGGACCCGGTAACTCTGTGGCCTTCTTTCCAGGACAATAGGCCCCACGTAAACGCAGCCCCGTGTGGTTGGCTGCCCGCAGTGTCCCCCTGCTCACGCCCCTGCCTTGTCACACAGCAGCTGTCCCTCAGCTCTGTGCCGAGACCCTCAGCCCGGACGGCTTGGACGGCTCCCTCAGCTCCGTGCCGAGGCCCTCAGCCCGGACGGCTCCCTCAGCTCTGTGCCCAGACCCTCAGCCCAGACCCTCAGCCCGGACGGCTCCCTCAGCTCCGTGCCCAGACCCTCAGCCCGGACGGCTCCCTCAGCTCCGTGCCCAGACCCTCAGCCCGGACGGCTCCCTCAGCTCCGTGCCCAGACCCTCAGCCCGGACGGCTCCCTGAGCTCTGTGCCGAGGCCCTCAGCCCGGACGGCTCCCTCAGCTCCGTGCCCAGACCCTCAGCCCGGACGGCATGGACACAGGATTTCCAGTCGTGGATGTTTCGGTAGCATGTGCGGAGGGAGGGCAGGTCCCGTTCCCCTCGGAGGGTGCTGGAGCCCCTGGCCCCAGGGCAGTACCAGAGAGCCCCAGCCTGGCCTGAGGGGCACCGCTGAGGCCCTGGCGTGCGGAGACCGGGCGGGCGGGCAGGTGCTCACTACCATGGCGCCGCTGGGCATGGGGGCGTCTGCACTCTGCCGGCCCCCGCACCTGGCTTTGCCTGAGAGGCTGGCACGCCGAGGAGGACTCCTGGACTCCACCGCGGGGGTGAGAGGCAGTCTGCCCAGGATGCTCTCCGCCTCCCCGACAGCTCACCCACCACGAGCACTCTGCACACGCACCGGCTTTGCTGGCTGTGCGGCCCTGCGGACCGTGCCCTGCGAGAGCCCAGCGTTCCTGCCCGTCTCCATCGTCCACCCACCATCCTTTCCCGGACGTCCCAGTCTGGGTGCCAGCTCCCCCTCCCGCAGCGTCCCGCTCGCCTGGGTCCTCCGGACCCGCAGATGTTTCTACTTGGAGATGGTCTCCTTCGGCGTTGCCACGGCCACGCCGTCCTGCACCGCCCTCAGCCACAGCTCTGAAGAGCTGCCCACTGATTCCACCTCCGCCCTCCCCTCCCCTGTCCACGGCCACCAGCCACCGCTCCCTGCCAGCCCACACTGGCAGCAAACACGGGCTCTCCTGAGCCAGCAGCTCGTCCCTCTCAGCCCGTCTCCCTGATCCCAGTGCTCCCAGGTACCTGCCCTTCCCCCTGTGGGGACCTCAGCAGCGCGGGGGCTCTAACTGTGCTGTGCTTCCTGCCAACTCGAGTCTGCACCTCCGCCTAGGTCTGTGCTCTGACCCCAGACCTGCAGTCCACATGCCTGCACGCGGGTGCCTCCACCTCCCCTCGTCCCCCACCCACCTGTCCCTCTCCCCGGCGGGACCTCAGCAAGTCTGGCAGGTCCCGCTCGGACGCAGACATGGCAGCTGCCGGCTCAGGGCCGCTGTCCACCCCTCCCAGCGCTGACCTCTCTCCTGATCTGCCCGGCCGCTTCTCTGCTGGTGAGACTCTGGAGTGACAGGCCCTGCCCCTCCACTTTCGGGGTAACACAGACATTTAAGCCAAAGAGGGTCCCTAACACCACCCTGGGAACATGCGGCCTGTGTCCCAGGACTCCTGCCCACGCTCTCCCTGCACGAAGGACAAACCTGGTCCGGGGAGCTGTCCCAGAGCAGAGGACCTGCTCGGGGCCGCCCGTGTCCTGCGTCAGCAGCACCGGACCGGGAGCCTGTACCAAACCCCAAGCACGGCCTGAGACTAAGACAAAAGCCCCCCGCGCACCAGTCCGGCTTCTCCCCGCCCGTAAGCACTGCAGAGAGCGGAGGTCTCCTCACGGTGCGCCTCACCTCCATCTCGTACATCGGGGGCCCCAGGATGTCCTTCAGGGCGTGGAAGTCGATCAGAATTGGCATCTCTGGGGGGAGGGCCAAGTCGGCAGTGTCACTGAGGGACTCGCGTTTCGTGTCTTCTAAGATGTGTTCCCTGCTCCCTGAGAGAGAAAACTGTATTTAGAAACTCAGACTTGCCGGCCGACGACTCAGTGGCAGTAAGTGAGGCAGAGGCAGGGACGTCACCCGTCCAGCCCCTGGGCACCTGGGACTCGGGGTGCAGCCGGTGCGCGAGGGCCCGTGCGTCCCTGTCCCCAGGGAAGGGTGCTCCAGGAGGCAGGTCCTCGCCTGCCTTCTCTCTGAGGTTATGCTCCTGGGACAAGGACAGGGTGCTGCCCCGCCTTCAGAGGCCGGGGGGCGAAGGGCTGATGCAGCTGTCAGGTCGGCAGACCCCAAACTGTCCATCCCCTCTTCAGGGGAGTCCCACCAAGGGTCCTGGTAGGCAACATGAACTTGAAAACGACGCAACCCATATAAGCAATGCCTCTTGCACACACAGCTCAACTCCAAGACGACCATTTTCCAGTAGCAATAAATCCAACGGCAGTGCCGGGCGACAGGGCCTGACCCTCGCCCTGCCGTCCAGCTCCCGCGCGGTCCGAGAAGTGCTGAGGATACGCTCGCTCTGACCTTTGTCACACAGCCTTCCTGCGGGAAGCGATGAGGGCATGTCTGATACACAACGTGGATAATCACACGCACCTCGCACTGCACACCTGAACAGACTCTAGTTTGGCTACGGTTCTTCCATTCCGAACAAACCCCCTTCCTTCCAAAACTGATGACTGGCTGCGTTTAATGACATCAGCCCCTGCACAAGACCTAGGAGCATCCCCGAGTGAGGCCTGCAGCCGGGTGTGCACCCAGGGCGCCTCCGGACGGGCCGTGACGCTGGGACCGCACGGACAGCGGGCCACTTCCTGCCGCCTGCCGCCTGCCGCGGTGGGGCCACCTCTCGCTGCCTGTCTCCACACGGCTCTTGTGAGAATCGGCCTTGTCCCCTGATCCTTCAGAGTTCCGCTCTCGATTCTAGAAAGTCTTACTGATCGTCCCACCTTCCTACAGCACCGTCCGCCGGAGCCTGCAGCCGCGGGGCTGTCAGCTGTGGGCAGAGACGTCTGTCCACCGCCTGCCTCGGCTGCGGCGGGGCAAGGTCGCAGGTGGTCGGCTCGGCTCCGTGAGATCTCGGAGCAGGACAGGAAGCGGGTGTCACTGTTCCCCCAACACCAGTGCACAGAGGGGCACTCCCTGCTCGGTCACTGCACCCTGAGGTCCCTGGACGTCAGCCGGTGCAGGGAAGGGCTGTGGGCTTCTCCAGCCCAATGTGCTTTGTGGGGGGTTTTCTGAGCCCCGACTACGCTGCCAGCTCGGACTCCACTGTCACGGGAGGAAGGGAAGCGGGCGGGTGGAAGCCAACCTGTTATGTGACCAGTGCTTCAGGACCTCGAGCCCCTCCAAGGGGAGAGGTCAACTCAGAGCTACGAGCGGGGGGAGGGGCAGGAGAGCGGCGTCTGATGTACAGAGGTGGCCGCTTTCTCCAGGTATCGGACGCAGCAGCTGTGTCGGGAACATGCAACAGACAGGACGAGGCCGCGCTGCAAAATGCCCCGTCACCAGAACACAGCCTGGGAACTGGAGTGTGAGTCAAGGGGAGGGCGGCTGGCTGCGAGGACGGACACACAGGCAGATGGCCGTCCTCGGGCCAGGCCACAGAGCCGTGAGGAGCTCACCTCCCGACCTGACGTGGGCCCTGCTCGACCCTCCTCCGGGGATGACACGTCTCCTTCCAGGACCTTCTCTCGGGCTACAACAGCGGCTTTTAACAAACCGTCAGTACGCATATGAAAAAATGATTATTTCGCCAAGAAGCAGGGAAGTTTAATTAAAAGCAGGACACCATTTTCTGGTTACCAAAGTAAAGTAACTAGTAAACAAGAAATAACAAACAGCAAAGTGGAAGAAAGTGAAGATCTCAAATGCTGTTGCTTGTGAAACTATAAATTGGTTTGATTTTTCAGGAAAGTCATCTGTCAATATTTAGAGTACTATTTAAGCCCTGAACGGTTTGACTCAGCGGTCAGAGCACTGGCCCGTAGACCAGTGAGACCCGGGTTCGATTCTGGCCAAGGGCACATACCTCGGTTGCAGTTTGTCCCCGGCCCTGGTCCGGGGCGCACAGGAGGCAACCAGTCGATGTGTCCCTCTCGCATCGATGTTTCTCTCTCTCTCCCTCCCACTCTATCTGAAGATAAATGCAAAAATATCCTTGGGTGAGGATTAAAAAAAAAGAGAGTACTACTTAATACAGACTTCTAAGACTCACCTGTCTTGCTCCATCACCCCTTATTTTTTTTCTCATCTGTAAAATGGGCCTAAAAACACCCATTATGTAGAGTTCTGAGAGGACTAAAAGAGTAAATCCATGTAGAATGCTCAGAATATTGTCTAGCCCAAAGCAGGAACTTGATAAACAATGACCCTTCCTGCCCGAGTTGTCACAATAGCCAACTAATTTGGTCCCTCTCCCCAGCATTCCTACTATCCATTTCATTCACACCTGTAAAGGAATCTTTTAAAAATCACTGCTGTGTTGCCCTGGCCAGTTTGACTCAGCAGTTGGAACATTGGCCCACGGACCAAAGAGTCTCGGGTTGGATTCTGGTTGGGGGAACATACCTTGGCTGCGGTTCGATCCTTGTTCTGGTCGAGGTTGTGTGGGAGGCAGCTAATTGATGTGTCTCTCTCACGTCGATATTTCTCTCTCTCTCTCCTCTTCCCACTCTGTCTGAGGATAGATGGATGAATATCCTTAGGTGAGGATAAAAAAAAAAAAAAAATTCATAGCCCTGGCCAATTTGGCTCAGTGGTTAGAGTGTTGGCCCGAGGACCAATGAGGCTCGAGTTCAATTCCAGTCAAGGGTACGTACCTCGATTCTGATTCGTCCCCAGCCCTGATTGGGGTTGTGCGGGAGGCAGCCACTCAATGTGTCCCTCTCATATCAATGTTTCTCTCTCCCTCTCTCTCTCTCTCTCTCTCTCTCTCTCTCTCTCCCTCCCACTCTATCTGAGCAAAAATGGAAGACTATCTTTGGGTGAGGATTAAAAAAAAAATAAACAAAAATAAAAATAAATAAATATAAAAATCACTGCTGTGACTATATCATTTCTAGTCTTAAATATCTTCAATAGTTTTTTTCATCGCAAATTCCTAACTTCTAAGAGTTGCATTTGAGATCTACCTCAATATAGTGTCAACTTACATTTTTTTAAAAATTATTTTTTAAAATTCTCACCAGAGGAAATATTTTTGATTTTATTTTTATTTTTTAATCCTCACTCGAGGATATTTTTTTTCCATTTTTATCTTCAGATGGGGGGGGGGGGCAGAGAGAGAAAGAGAGAGAGAGAGAGAGAGAGAGAGACATCAATGTGAGAGGGACACATCGATTGGTTGCCCCCCATACGACCCTGACCAGGGCCGGGACCAAATCACTACCGAGGTATGTGCTCTTGACCGAAATTGAACCCACAACTGTTTGGTCCGCAGGCTGATACTCTACCGTTGGGCCAAACCTGCCAGGGTGTTTTGTTAATTTTAGAGAGAGAGGAAGGGGGAGAGAGAGAGAGAGAGAGAGAGAGAGAGAGAGAGAGAAATGTTAAGAAAGAAACCTCGATCAGCTGCTTTCCATACATTCCCTGACTGGGGATTGAACTGGAAACGCAGGTATGTGCCCGACCGGGAATTGAACTGGCGACCTTTTGGTGCACTGGATGGCGCTCCAACCAATGGAGCCACCCAGCTGGGGCTCAATTACATTTCTAGTTGTATCTCCCACTGTCCTGGAAGGCCTTCCCGGCTGGAGCAGGAGCCACCACCCAAACTGATATCTATGCAGCACAGTCTTGGGTAAGAAGCTGGGCCCTAGATTCCTCGTTGGCAAAGTGAAAGTGACGAGATGACCTCTGACCTTTCCATCTCATTGCATCTTGTGCCTTACACAGAACAGGTATTCAACTGTGGTCTCCCGAGTTAAACTGAATTTGGGCTATTTGATTTTTAAATCTTAATAACATCTGTGGACAACTGACAAATCACCAAAATACTTAATCATGACTTGGATTTGCCAAAAAATTACTCAGTTTTTAACAATGCTGACTTTGGCAAGTAAACAATATTTTTCATCAGTGAACATTAATCATATAACAAAATTATTACTAAATGATTAAAAATTTTCTTGAAAGTTGCACCCCATCACCCTGGGCTCCTGCAGATGGCCTGCTGGCCTGGACTGCGTGCTCGGTGTAGGAGGAGGGTGACCTGCAGCATTAACAGCGTGAGCCAACGGAGAACACTGCTTACATCTTCACTCTTCAGCACGCGAGTATGTATACATGGAGCCAGACCCGTTCAGGCACGGAGACAAAGACTGGTATGGCTGCAGTTATAACAATGACTAAGGTTTTTTTCTTTTCCCTAAACCGAGTCTACTGTAAAAATCAAGCTGAGATGCTGAGATTATTAGTGGCTTTGTTATTTCTTACATGATAGTAGAAGTATGTGCCCCAGAGCCAAACTGACCAGGGATACAATGTATCTGAGAGCCTCCTCTTGGGAAGGCAGAAAGAGAAAAACAAAGTATCTACAAAACAAATCAGAAAAACTTGAATGTTTCCAACTGAATAATCTGAGATGTCAGTTTCAGGCTAACCCTTTCCAGAAAGCCATGCTCCTGGCCAGGGAAAGTGTGCTAAGTGCAGCCAGGGCTCCTGCCCAGGGCTGCCAGGCTCCTGTGCCGCAGACCGTCAGTCTGTTCTCAAAGGAACGAGCTGTAATGGAGAAATCTGGGGATCAAATGCCCAGACAAACCTTCATACTAGCAAGAAAATCTTTGAAGTTCTCTATGCCAATATTTTCTTCATTATTTTGGGGATGATAAAACAACCTTAACATTATCAAATACAATTTTTTTCTTTCTTTTTTTATCCTCACCTGAGGACATTTTTTTGTTCAGATAGAGTGGGAGAGAGAGAGAGGAAGAAAGAGAGAGAGAAATATTGACGTGAAAGGGACACATCGAATGGCTGCCACCCGCACGACCCA